CTCTTCTCCAGTGAGACCTTCCTTCTCATTAGGTGGCCAAAGTATTTGACTTTCATCTTCAGGATCTGACCTTCTAAAGAGCAGTCAGGGTTGATCTCCTCTAGGACTGACCAGTTTGACCGCCTTGCAGTCCAAGGGACTCGGAGAAGTCTTCTCCAGCACCAGAGTTCAAAGGCCTCAATTCTTTAGTGCTCAGCGTTTCTTCGGGTCCAACTTTCACAGCCATCCATTGCAACTGGGAAAACCATAGAAACCATAGTCTTGACTATACACACTTTTGTTGGCAGGGTGATGTCTCTGCTTTTTAGTAAGCTATCTAGATTTGGCATAGCTTTCCTCCCCAGGAGCAAGCATCTTTTAATTTCTTGGCTGCAATCCCCGTCTACGGTGAACTTGGAGCCCAGGAAAATAAAATCTGTCACTACCTCCATTTCTTCCCCATCTATTTGCCAGGAATTCACACAAATAAATAGCACAAATAAATAGCAACAGCATCCACTCCCACACTTGGGATGAAAGGTGATGGCAAGATTTTGTGTGACCAGGGCACGTTTATTGATAATAAACCACAGAGAGGCCATCAAACTGTGTTTAGGGACAAGGTTCCTCCTGCAGCAGAAACCAGAGGGAAGATTTCTCCTTTCGGTTCACAAAGGTATGATTCTTTTCCCCAGTGAGAAAATCAAGGATGCCGATTCTGTTCACCAGACTACTTTTTTCCCCTCCCAATCCAAAAAAGTGCCAGATGATGATAAATCTAAGCCAGCAATGACCTTCATCATACTCTTACTACAGGTCTCCACTGTCACGGGGGCCTGCAGGAAAAGGAGAAGCTGGAATAAGGGTCTGCAAATTGGTTTACATTATTATTCTCATTATTCTTGTTGTTGTTATTTAAGATTTAATTTTCAATTTGATTCACACTCTGGGACTGGAAAGCCAGTTGGGTGACCTTGAGCCAATCATCAAGAGATGGTGAATTCTAGTCCCACCTTAGGTAGTTGGTGACTTTGGGCCAATCACCAGGAGATGGTGAGTTCTAGTCCCACTTTAAGCAGTTGGTGACTTTGGGCCAATCACCAGGAGATGGTGAGTTCTAGTCCCATGCGTGGTGCGGCCATTCCATTACTGCCCGGACCTTTTCCGGGTCCATCTCTATTCCCTCATGCGATATACGATATCCAAGATAGTCGATTTTGTCTTGATGGAATTCACATTTAGAAAGTTTAGCATAGAGCTCAGCTGCTCTGAGTTTATTTAAGACCGCTCGAACCAATCTTACATGGTCGGCCATGTTGTCAGAATAAATTAGAATATCGTCCAAATAGACCAACACCCCCTTATATAGGTGTTCATGCAACACTTCGTTGATCAACTGCATGAATACAGCGGGGGCCCCTGTAGTCCAAAAGGGAGTACTCTAAACTGAAAACATCCCAGTGGGCAATTAAATGCTGTCTTCCATTCATCTCCTTCTTTTATTCTCACTCGGTAGTATGCCTCTCTTAAATCAAGTTTGGTAAAAAAATTTCCCTTCCCTAAATGGGCCAACATGTCCTTCATAAGTGGGAGGGGATAGACATTTTCCACGCAAATGGTGTTCATGTTTCTATAATCAACAACTAATCTGAAGGATCCATCTTTCTTTTCGCGGAACATTACTGGCGCTGCCACCTTGGGTTTGGCTCGTTCGATGAATCCCATTCTAAGTTTTTGTCAATAAAATTTCACAATTCCCCCAGTTCCCGAGGTGTCATGGGGTATATTTTTGGTTTGGGAAGCTTCACCCCTGGGAGTATTTCAATGGTGCAGTCAGTGGCCCTGTGGGGAGGTAGAGCATCCGATGCTTTTTCACTAAACACTTCCTTGAGGTCCCAATATTCCTTTGGAATTTTCTCTTCTCCCTCAATATAGTTAATGGCTACTGCTGCCCTTTCTGGTTTTATGTCGTCCCTTAGGGAGGGGCCTTCCTTTTCCGGAGTAGGTTCTGCCGTATGGATGCGCAGGACCCCAGTTCTCCAATTTACTCGTGGGTTCCATTTACGAAGCCAGGGCAGTCCTAGAATGAGGGGCCTTTCCATGCCAGGTGCTACGATAAAGCTGAGCTTCTCTACATGATTCCCCAACTGCAGTTCAAGGGGTTCGGTCATAAAACTAGCTGGGCCCCCTCCTGCAATCGACCCGTCTAATTGACAAAATGCAATGGGTCTTTTTAAAGTTTTCAATCTCAGTCCCATTTCTTCCACTACTTTGGGGCTAATTATGCACCTAGTGCACCCAGAGTCCAACAGGGCTAACAATTGCGCGTGAGTTCCTGTGGAGGGCACCCTTACTTCTACGGTGATGAGTAAGGGTTCTTCCGTGCGACTCACCGTTCGTCGGTGTCAGAGTCGGAGTCCGTCTCGCTGTCGTCATCGTTGGTCGGAGTTCCCAACTCACCCTGGTTCCGGGGAGTGAACTCAACGACTTCTCCTTTCAGGGCGGTGCCGCGGGTTTTGGCGGATATTTTATCGCCTTTCTTTTGGCTGGTCCTGGTGGCTTTTGGCAATGGTTTGGGAGAAACATTCGGCCGCCCGGTGACCCTCCTTCCCACATTTGAAACAGGTGAAGGGCTTTGACTTGGGTTTGGTTTCGGTTTTCCCGCCAGTCATTTTGGGCGGTCCCTTACGGTAGAAAGAGGATGACTGTTCTCCCATTCGCCTTCCTTGGAGTTCGCTCCGTTTCAGCTCGATCTCCACATCCTCAGCTACTATGTACCATCTATCCAAATCATCGGGGACCCCCATGCTCCTGCAGTCTCGATATATCTCTTCATTCAATCCATCTTTGAAGCTCTCCAAAAGAGCCATTTCTGACCAGCCTGTCATATAGGGTGCCAGTTCACGAAACTCTTGGATATACTCTGCCATCGGCCTCCGGCCCTGCTGAATGCTCTTCATTCTGAGTCTCGCCTTTCGTTCGGCTAAATGGTCTTCAAAACGCCTTCTAAGGGCCCTCATGAACTGGTTGTAATTTCTCAGCAAGGGGGAGTTGTTATTGTGGAGAACCACCATCCACTCAGCAGCTACTCCCTCTAGGGCATTCGCAACGTCTCTGACTTTTGCTGCCTCTGTTTCGTAGTCCTCCCCCCAGTCCTCCATGTGGTTCCACACTTGGGTCAGGAAAAATCCCAAGGTTTTTGGATTCCCATCAAACTTCCCAGGAAGGGGGGGGATTTTTGGCTTTTTTCGTCTGCGGGGAGGGGCCTGCAAGGCTGGGGTTCTCTGGCCGGCTGCATCTCTCCCTCGAGCTGCCGAAGCCTGGGATGTTTCCTCCTCAAACTCTTCCTCTCCCCCGCAGGCTGTCTCTTCGGGCCCCCCCCCGGGGCCTGCTTCCCCCTTCTCCACAGGAATTTCAAAAGACTCACGGTTTTTTCTGCTTTCTTCCACATCACGGATAAGCTGCAAGGCTTGATCTATCATGAGGCATTCCTTGTGCTGTTGCATCCACACTGCCTCTCTTTTCCGGGGTCTGGAAATTGTCACTCCCCGGGGTTCTTCTCCCCAGTCCGGCAGTCTCCCCACACCTTTTGACCATCTGGCCTCCTCCGTCTCCAGACGAAGTTTTTCTAACCATTCTGCAGTCTCCTTTTCTGACTGGAAGGCAGTTGAACTGGCTGCCCCCATTTTCTCTTCTCCATCACTCCCCCGATCTGACATGTTTGGATTTACAGTCCCCTCAGTTTTGGTCCGGGATGACTGGTTGTGTCTTCCAGCTTAATGTCAGGTATGCTTCCTTCAGTATCCAGGAAAGAAAACCCCAAAGTCAAGCATTTTGAAGAATTTGGTACTTTTACTGAATAAGAAATGATTAACAACCCAGTTAAGCTGGAAGTGAGCAAAACGCGCGAAATGCATCTACTAAGCTTCTTCCCCCCTCGTGTTTATAAATCCTCAGCCAACCCAAAGGTCTTCCAAAGGTCAGGTGGCAACACGTCTGGCAGCGTCATCCATCAGGAATGTCGAGACAGTTGGTCAGCCGTCCCCTTTTGAAAATACAGTTTCGATTCCCATGAAGTCCCCTCCTACAAAGACAAACCCCCTCCTGCTCTCTTCCCCCCCTTTGCTCCATACCTAATCCCTCCCCGTTTCTTATGGCAGCTGAAGCAGGCAAGCTGACAACAACATTCTTCCAGGCCTTCCTGCCCTCTACCATCCCCCAAGTCCATTTAAGCTCACACCTACTGCTTCAGTGATTCCATCCAGCCACCACGTTCTCTGTCGTCCATTTCTTCTTTTGCCCTCAATCTTTCACAGCATTAGCCTCTTCTCCAGTGAGACCTTCCTTCTCATTAGGTGGCCAAAGTATTTGACTTTCATCTTCAGGATCTGACCTTCTAAAGAGCAGTCAGGGTTGATCTCCTCTAGGACTGACCAGTTTGACCGCCTTGCAGTCCAAGGGACTCGGAGAAGTCTTCTCCAGCACCAGAGTTCAAAGGCCTCAATTCTTTAGTGCTCAGCGTTTCTTCGGGTCCAACTTTCACAGCCATCCATTGCAACTGGGAAAACCATAGAAACCATAGTCTTGACTATACAAACTTTTGTTGGCAGGGTGATGTCTCTGCTTTTTAGTAAGCTATCTAGATTTGGCATAGCTTTCCTCCCCAGGAGCAAGCATCTTTTAATTTCTTGGCTGCAGTCCCCGTCTACGGTGAACTTGGAGCCCAGGAAAATAAAATCTGTCACTACCTCCATTTCTTCCCCATCTATTTGCCAGGAATTCACACAAATAAATAGCACAAATAAATAGCAACAGCATCCACTCCCACACTTGGGATGAAAGGTGATGGCAAGATTTTGTGTGACCAGGGCACGTTTATTGATAATAAACCACAGAGAGGCCATCAAACTGTGTTTAGGGACAAGGTTCCTCCTGCAGCAGAAACCAGAGGGAAGATTTCTCCTTTCGGTTCACAAAGGTATGATTCTTTTCCCCAGCGAGAAAATCAAGGATGCCGATTCTGTTCACCAGACTACTTTTTTCCCTCCCAATCCAAAAAAGTGCCAGATGATGACAAATCTAAGCCAGCAATGACCTTCATCATACTCTTACTACAGGTCTCCACTGTTACGGGGGCCTGCAGGAAAAGGAGAAGCTGGATTAAGGGTCTGCAAATTGGTTTACATTATTATTCTCATTATTCTTGTTGTTGTTATTTAAGATTTAATTTTCAATTTGATTCACACTGGGACTGGAAAGCCAGTTGGGTGACCTTCAGCCAATCATCAAGAGATGGTGAATTCTAGTCCCACCTTAGGTAGTTGGTGACTTTGGGCCAATCACCAGGAGATGGTGAGTTCTAGTCCCACTTTAAGCAGTTGGTGACTTTGGGCCAATCACCAGGAGATGGTGAGTTCTAGTCCCATCTTAAGCAGTTGGTGACTTTGGGCCAATCACCAGGAGATGGTGAGTTCTAGTCCCACCTTAAGCAGTTGGTGAATTTGGGGCCAATCACCAGGAGATGGTGAGTCCTAGTCCCACCTTAAACAGTTGGTGACTTTGGGCCAATCACCAGGAGATAGTGAGTTCTAGTCCCGTTTTAGGACAAGGTTGGGCTAAGACAGGGTTGGGCATGAAAGCCGACTGGGTGACTGCATCAAAGTGGCTCTCATTTACATCATTTCCAAATTTTTGAGAATATTTATTACCACCACCACCCTGTCACCTTATAGTACCTGTTCTGTTCCCATGTCTGTTTTCACCCATCCAGGATGGAGCGGAACACATACAATTCCATCCTTTTTCAGTTCCTCTGCAAGGCAGGCACTGACCATGTTCAGCGCCGTCTATCAAACAAAGCGTGAGAGAATGAATGTCAGAACCGGGGGGGGAGGAAGGGATAAAAAGAGGGTTCAGTCTAGAATCCCTACATAGAGGCAAGTGAACTAAGTCCAACCCTCCTTGAGTGCCGTGGACCTAACTCCAAGCAGATGCTGTCTCATGGTTTAGAAGATTCCTGTGCACCACAGGAATAAATCCTGTGAAATTTATTTAGCAATAAATCAGTTTGCAATAGTGGCAATTCTCTGTAACTCAGGTGTAGGATGAGAGTGAAGGTTCGTTCTCTTGAGCTTGTGGGTTGGTTTCCAATTGTTTTGTTGCCAGACTAGGTAACATCTTCAGCAGAGTTTAGGGGATGTCTGTGTCGATATTCTTCTGCTTTAAAGGCTGTGTGGTCAGGAGGTCTTGTGATGGGGAGGTCACATCAGATGAGAGTCATGTCAGGTGAGGGTCTTTATGACGGGACTTGTGATGGGTAGGTGTGGGTTGCGTCAAGTGAGGGTCTTGTATTCTCATGGGTCTTGTTATGGATCTGACAACCCAAGTTGACCCACACCTGACCCATCACAAGACCCATCAGAAAACAAGACCCTCACTTGACCCGACCCAAACCTACCCATCACAAGTCCCACCACAAGACCCTCGCCTGGCATGACCCTCACCTGATGTGACCTCCCCATCACAAGACCTCCTGATCACACAAAACCCCTACAAGCAGAACACCGACACGGACATCCCCCTAAACTCCACTGAAGATGTTACCTAGGCTGGTAACAAAATGTTCAGAAACCCTCCACTCTCAATAAATCAGTAGAACTAGAACTAAAACCATGTGTGGATCTGAGTTTTCATCATCATTTTAACAAGTCTTTCCCTGATAGTCAAACATCTTCTGAACCTTGGTCCCAGGTCCAGTTTCACTTTACGAAGATTTCACATTGATCAGAGGCTACTGGAGCTAGAATAGAATAGGATAGAATAGAATAGAATAGAATAGAATAGAATAGAATAGAATAGAATAGAATAGAATAGAATAGAATAGAATAGAATATGAGCCGAGGCGGCACAGTGGTTAGAGTGCAGTACTTCAGCTGACTGCTAGTTCAGCAGATCAGCGGATCAAATCTCACCGGCTCAACGTTGACTCAGCCTTCCATCCTTCCGAGATGGGTAATATGAGGACCCAGATTGATGGGGGCAATATGCTATTTAGTATACTGTCTTTGGCGTAAGCCGCCCAGAGTCCTCGGAGAGTGGGTGGCATAGAAATATGACTAATAAATAAATAAATAAATAACAGAGTTGGAAGGGACCTTGGAGGTCTTCTGGTCTACCCCCCTGCCCAGGCAGGAAACCCTACACCACTTCAGAGAAATGGTTATCCAATATCTTCTTAAAAACATCCAATGTTGGAGCATTCACAACTTCTGGAGGCAAATTGTTCCACTGATTAATTGTTCTCCTTGTCAGGGAATTTCTCCTTAGTTCTAAGTTGCTTCTCTCCTTGATTAGTTTCCACCCATTGCTTCTTGTCCTGCCCTCAGGCGCTTTGGAGAATAACTTGTGTCATGCCTGGAAGCCATATTACCTGTGTGCCTTGAGGATCCAGGTCTGCCGCAACCATGCCGGGGAAGCTGGGAGGGGGGATTGCATGAGTGAAGTAGAGATAGCCATAACAGAATTCTCTAAGAGAAGTTCAAGGCCATGGTTTGCAAAGAAGAAATTGGAGGATGTCTTCTGTTTGGGAAAGAACTGATTGGAGCTGTGTGGACATGTGGGAGATGTGGGCAAGGTCTTGAACTTGGACTTTCAGGGACTTGGACTTTCCTTTGGGTGAGGAAAACCCGGGAGCTTTCAGATTCGGGTTTTCCCAGGTGTGCCAATATGACATCTCTAATAAAAATTAGCTTTGAGGAACAAGCCTCGGAGTTTGATTTTTGTTGGGGGTGTTACTTGGAACCCTGACAACTTGACTCCTTCTTCTTTGTGGCAGCCATATTGGAACATATTGGAACACTGCGATCGTGTCTCCCCTAGTCCTTCTTTGCAATAAACCAGGCATACCCAGTTCCTATGTTTTAGCTTCCAGTCCCCTCATCATCTTCACTGCTCTTCTCTGCACTCTTTCTAAAGTCTCAACATCTTTTTTTTTAAAGTTTTTTATTATATTTTTATTGTTAAGGAATAACAAAAAGGAAAAAAAATCAATGCAAAAAATCAATAGTAAGGAAAGGGAAAAAAAAAATTTCCCCCAACGTGCTATACAAACGGAAAGGAAGTTTTAGGAACTTGAAGTCTTCAATTCTTCCAGAAATCTCTTTGATAAGGTACTGGTGCCGATTCATCCAATCTCCCAAGTGCAAAGTCCACAAATGGTTGCCAAGTGTTCCAAAAAACATTTTCTTTATATATACCACTTCTAATTTTAATATCACAAGTCAATTTATCATTTAATGCAAATTTCCATGTTTCATTGTACCATTCTTCTAATTTTAAGTCAACATTTAATTTCCAATATCTAGCAATTATAATTCTCCCCATTATAACCAAAATCCTCACCAATTCTCTTTCTCCTGTTGTTAATGTTGTTTCGTTCAATATTAATAATAATATGGTTTCCAATTTCAATTTGACAATTTTTCAACATCTTTTTTAAAGATCGTCCCAAGAGGGACTTGGACTGTCTTGTTGGTTATGTTCAAAATAACAAAGTTTCTGAATTACCTTGCTGACACGATATTGGTACATTGGAGGAACAGGTTGTCCAAAGGATGTAAAACCCAGTCCAAAGGAGGAAACTACAGAGGACACATTGACGACAACTGCCTTGTTGCCTCCCATGTTTTCATTTGTGGTCTCCTTGGCAGCCTTCTTCAGGAGAGGCAGGAATTCCTAAAATACATATGAAACAGAAGGCCGAAATCTTACGTTTCTCTTCTTCCTCGGTCTCCTTCAGATCCTTGTTTTATTCTCACTGGCCGTTTTTTATTTCCCAAGTCATAGCTTTTTCTTGGTGCCACCTCTGATCCCATTCTTCTTCCCAGAAGACTACCTATACAGCACCTCAACCAGACTTACTTTGACAATTAGGAGGGGCCCCACTGTATTGGTCTTGTATGACAATAGCATATCTTCCTGATCCACGTTTTCCAGGAAAAGGCCTGGGGACATTCCAGCAGCATTATTGATTAGCAGATTGAGCCCTCGTCCTTTCAGATGGGATTCCACTTCTGACACAGCCTGCCTGATACTGGAAATATCTGTCGTATCTACCACACACAGAGGGGAAAGCTAATAGGATAGGTATCAGTAAAAGTGTAATGGAAAAGAAAAGACCTTCGGAGACAGGAAAAAAACCTTGCGGCCTAGATAACAATCTCATCAATGAAATTTGCCCACCTAGCAGTTCAAAAGCATGCAAATGCGAGTAGATAAATAGGTACCACTTCGGTGGAAATATAACAGCGTTCTGGGCGCTTTTGGCTTATAGCTATGCTGACCACATGTCCATGGAAATTGTGTTCAGGCAATGCTGGCTCCCTAAACCAAGAAAAGGAGATGAGCACAGTGCAACCGTCATAAATACATGCCCGTTGTCAAGCGTCCGAATTTTGATCACACGACCGAGGGGATGCTGCCATGGTCGTAAGTGTGAAAACAGTCATAAGTCACTTTTTTCAGTGGCGTTGTAACTTTGAACAATCACTAAATGAATGATTGTCAATTGAAGACTAGCTGTAGTGGTGCTATTTATTGTAAGGCTTTATTAACAGGTCTGGAATTACCTCTACCGTAAATTCTAAACAGGAGGAATCTTAGGAAGATTTGCTCCATTTAAAAAACTATTCACCTGTTGAATTGATATCACTACACTGGTACTAGAGAAACGGATATTAAAAAAATCCCCAAACTGACAATTAATTGCACTACACTTTTTATATACTCATGGAATTAATGATGATAGATATAATCATGTTTTGTGGTTTTCATTGCAATAATTACCTAGAGAGTAACGATCCCATACCTAATTGAACCACGCGAGTGTTGTCGTGCTGACTAGCAAAATTCTGCAAAGCCTGCAATTGAGAAAGAAAATGTTAAAAAGAACAGGCTGAATAGATAAAATATATTTTAAAAGTATAATCTGCAATCTCAGTTCCAATATAGCAGATTTTTTTTCTTTTTATAACCCTTTAATCCAGGGGTGAAATCCAGCAGGTTCTGACAGGTTCTGGAGAACCGGTAGCGGAAATTTTGAGTAGTTCAGAGAACCAGCAAATACCACCTCTGGCTAGCCCCACCCACATCTATTCTCTGCCTCCCAAGTCCCAGCTGATTGAGAGGAAATGGGGACTTTGTAGTAATCTTCCCCTGGAGTGGGGTGGGAATGGAGATTTTGCAATATCCTTCCCCCAGGAGTGGGGAGGAAATGGGGATTTTGCAATATCCTTCCCCCAGGAGTGGGGAGGGAATGGGGATTTTGCAGTATCTTTCCCCTGGAGTGGGGGGGATGGGGATTTTGCAATATCCTTCCCCCAGGAGTGGGTAGGAAATGCGGATTTTGCAATATCCTTCCCTCAGGAGTGGGGAGGGAATGGGGATTTTGCAGTATCTTTCCCCTGGAGTGGGGTGGGAATGGAGATTTTGCAGTAACCTTCCCCTGCCACGCCCACCAAGCCACACCACCCCTACCAAGCCACACCCACAGAACCAGTAGTAAAAAAAATTGAATTTCACCACTGCTTTATTCCCTTTTATTTGGGTTGGAGTCGGTGAGACTGAGTAGAGCTGAGTGTTTACTGGCTGGACACCGTTCCTGATGCCTACACAGAGTTCACAGCAGAATTTTTAGCTTTCCATCCTGATATCTGACATCTGCTGCGTGGATTGAACTCTCAACCTTCCGAGTGGGAGGCAAGCCTCTTCACCTCTAACCCACCACACCCCTCTTCAATTCCTTTATAGCAGAATATCGTAATGGATTGTTTTTATCAGATATTGTTATAATTTGCAGACAATATTTTCTTAACCAGAACTAGCTGTTTATATATCTCTTTTTGTTTACATTATCATAGTTGTATTGTTGCTCTTTGTGTTAAGTTTATTTAAAATAATCCAGGAGGTGCATAAACCGGATGAATTTTCTGGTTTGGTACATCTTAGCATGAGGTCTGAATTCCAAGCCACGTTGCATTAATCAATGGACTGTGATTCAAAAAATCCTGGTTTAATCTTTTCTCTCAAATGCCTCAATTCCTTGATGCCTGAACGGAAGCCCACATCAGTACATTACCCCAGCTTGAATCTTAAAGATGCTGAATTAATTTTGATCTTCTACATGCCTTTGATTCAGGTCCAGTAGGGTTCCTACAAGTTGCAAAAATATGTCCAGAAGGCGGGTTCAACTTCACCAGCTCTTTCACCAGTCCAAACCCAATTCCCCGGTTGGTGCCGGTCACCAGGACGTTCCGAGCTACTTGAAACATCCTGAGACTCTTGACTGTTCCCCTTTGGAGAGGTTAAGACATCTGCATCTCCAAATAAGAAGAGGTTACTAATATTAAGCTAGCCTGAAGTGGATTCTCTTAAACACAAACAACGGTAATTCTCGACTTACAACGGAATGGGAACCAGAATTTCCATTGCTAAGCAAGGCGATTGTTAAAGAGAGTCGTGCCTGGTTTTATGACCTTTTGTGCCATGGTTGTTAAGCGAATCACATGGTCATTAAGGGAATCTGGCTTCCTCCGTTGACTTTGCTTGTCAGAAGCCGGTTAGGAAGATCTCAAATGGCGATCATGTGACTCTGGGTGGCTGCAACCATCGTGAATACCTGCCAGTTGTACAAAAGCCCAAATTTTGATCATGTGATCATGCTGTGACAGTCATTAAAGTGTAAGGACCAGTTTCCTGTGACACGTAGAAACCGTTAAAGGGCAAGGCCCATGTTTATTCTCCATGGTATTTTTTTATTTATTTATTTATTTATTTATTTATTTATTATTTGATTTTAAAAGCAAATCTTTATTAAACCTATAAAAAGTAAAATATTATACCATGTATATACAAGATACATATTAAAACCCACTTTTCCAGCAAGCCGGGCTGGCTTAGGAAGAAATTTTTTTAAAATTTTTAAATGTTTTAATTGGTTTGTTTTTTTAAATTTTGGGCCAAATTTATATAGATTTTAATTGTTTTTAATATTTGTATTTCATGTTCTTAATTCTGGCTGTGCTCAGGGAGAAGGGCGGTATATAAATTGAAAAATAAAAATAAATAATAATATATATTAATACAGACGGCAATACATAAAAGAAAAAGTGACTTTGGTCATACGTCCATTATCTTATTAACGGTGCATATTTGTTAATTATTATTATCGTACAGAATTTTACATTTACTCTCATTTCTACGAGTTATCCAATCATACCACCTATTCCATGCTATATAACATTTTGAGTCTACCTTATCCTTCATTTCAAATATTAGTTTGTGCATTTCTGCACAGTTATAGATCTTTTGGATTATCAATTGATCTGTTGGCAGTTGATCAGTTTTCCAATATTGGGCAAACGCCAATCTGGCTGCAGTGACTATGTGTAATATTAAATACATTTTATTTAATGTGTATGGCTACATAACCATCTCTACTACTGAACTGTATGGTTATATAATAATCCTCTGCTATCCTGCTAAATGCCCAAATTTTGATCATGTGATCATGCTGTGACAGTGTGAGGACCATTGTAAATCCCTTTTTACAATGCTTTTGTAACTTTGAACGGTCACAAATAGGTGGTTGTAAGTCGAGGACTACCTGAAGGCAAAGTAGAACATTAATCAACTCTTTAATTCATATAATTCTATACTACACCATATGTTATTATCTATAGATTCATTCTTGTGAATGCATGGGTGTGCATGCTCTTCTACTCCATGTTAGAAAGCTAGACCAAGCTATAACTAGGATGAAATTACCCATATTTTTCGGAGTATAAGACACACCTTTTCCCCCCCTAAAAGAGGGTCAAAATTTGGGTCTGTCTTATACACGAAATGTAGCCCGTCCAGCCTTTGAAATGAAGGTTTAAGAGGCTGAAAAAAAGCCCCTGAAACCTCCGTTTGAGAGGATGAAAAAAAGCCTCTGAAAACCTCCCTTTGAGAGGCTGGAAACGGAGGTTTCAGAGGCTGAAAAAAGCCTCTGAAACCACCCCTTGAGAGGTTGAAAAAAAGCCTCTGAAAACCTCCATTTGAGAGGATGAAAAAAAAGCCTCTGAAAACCTCCCTTTGAGAGGCTGGAAACGGAGGTTTCAGAGGCTGAAAAAAGCCTCTGAAACCACCCCTTGAGAGGTTGAAAAAAAGCCTCTGAAACCTCCATTTGAGAGGATGAAAAAAAAGCCTCTGAAAACCTCCCTTTGAGAGGCTGGAAACGGAGGTCTCAGAGGCTGAAAAAAAAGCAAGGCGCAGAGCTCACAACCAATGAACCTGTTGCTAAAGTTCACCTCTGGGAACAGCTGATTGGGGGTATTCCGGGAAGCCGATCTACCTCCAATTAGCTTTTTTCTTATTTTCCTCCCCAAAAACTAACGTGCGTCTTACACTCCAGTGCGTCTTATAGTCCAAAAAATACGGTAAGCTAAACCTAGGATATATACATTTCCTTATATGAAAACGGTTGCAGGATTGGTACATGGCTAGTCTAGAGAAAAGATGGACTAAGAGGGACATGATAGCAGGATTCCAATATTTGAGGGGCTGCCACAGAGAAGACAGGATCAACTTATTTTCTAAAGCACCAAAAGGCAGGAAAAGAAACAACGGATGGAAACTCATCAGGGTAAGAAGCAACCTAGAACTAAGGAGAAACTTCCTAACAGTGCGGACAATTAACCAGTGAGACAGCTTGCCTTCAGAAGGTGTGGATACTCTATCACTAGAGGTTTTTAAGAAGAGATTGGATAACCACTTGTCTGAAATGATATAGGGTCTCCTCGTTGAGCAGGGAGTTGGATTAGAAGACCTTCAAGGTCCCTCCCAGCTCTATTCTCAATTATTTGTATACTATAATATTTCTGTCACTTCTCACGGCTTAGGCTATGTAGTGAAAGCAGATGAGGAAATTCCTGCAGAGTCACAAACTTTAAGATGGGCTTTGCTATTCCTTATGTAATCAGATTGTCTTCCAGGTATTTTACCTGAAGCAAATGGAAGAGTCCCCAAGAAATAGTTTCCCTGGACAATTTAAATCAAGGAAGAGCAAGATGTCTCCTTTTCGTTATGATCTATGAACCCACAAAACAGATTTGGCAGCATTACATAGCTCTTCCTATCTCATCCTTTCTATGGCACCATCTCTGTGTTTCCGTTTTCCACTTCATCTAAAACTTTTCCTACCCAGGGAAAAACCATCTCACCAGCTGTAAGGACAAAAATATATTTCCCCCACTGACTGTGATTATTGTGACATCATTTCTCTGTTCCCACGGTTATGATTGACTGCAGTTTCATTCCCTGAGCCTCTGCTGACTTTATGAAATGTTAATATATTGTATATTGCTAGTCCATGGATGATGTGCCATACGCTAAATAACTAGCAATAGCAATAGCAATAGAACTTAGATTTATATACCGCTTCACAGTGCTCCACAGCCCTCTCTAAGCGGTTTACAGAGTCAGCATATTGCCCCCAACAATCTGGGTCCTCATTTTGCCAATCCTGGAAGGATGGAAGACTGAGTCAACCTTGAGCTGGTGAGAATTGAACTGCCAAACTGCTGGCAGAAGTAGCCTGCAGTACTGCATTTTAACCACTATGGCACCACGGTGTTGACTTTATTATCAAATGGAAAATTCGGACACCTTTATGATGGTTATTGAACTACACCTGCGGCAGGGGTGGGTTCTACTTACCTTTACTACCAATTCGCAATGGATCACATTCTGCGCATGTGCAGATCGCCGATACTGACATCCGGGGCAGTGGGCGGGGCTTCCCGCTGGTTTTACTACTGGTTCTTGCGAACCGGTCTGAACCACTGACCTGAGGGCAAGATCATGAATCATGGATGGAAGCTTAACAAAGGGAGATCCTAAGGAGAAATTTCCTGACAGTGAGAGCAATTAATCAATGGAACATCTTGCCTTCAGAAGTTGTGAGGGCTCCAACACTGGAGCTGGCTGGGGAATTCTGCATGTTGATGTCACCCATCTTGTCTCACCCATGAACTGAAAGAAAAATCAAAATTACTGGCAGATCCATATCCCGCTGATATCAGTGAAGATCTTGTAATGGAGATAAGTCTTTTGCCATCTGTTCATCAAGCAAATTTTGGAGGGGGCCAACCGAGTCCATTGGAGCTACTGAATTGCTTGAAAAGATACAAGCTGGAAGGACTCTTTCCAGAGGTGGGTTTCAGCAGGTTCTGACCAGTTCTGGAGAACCGGTAGTGGAAATTTTGAGTAGTTCAGAGAACCGGTAGTAAAAATTCTGACTGGCCCCACCCCCATCTATTCTCTCTCTCCCAAGTCCCAGTTGATCGGGAAGAAATGGAGATTTTACAGTATCCTTCCCATGGAGTGGGGTGGGAATGGAGATTTTACAGTATCCTTCCCCTGCCATGCCCACCATGCCACGCCCACCAAGCCACACCTACAGAACCGGTTGTAAAAAATTTTGAAACCCATCACTGATTCTTTCCCAATATATGTGTCTGCCTCCATATACTGTTAACAATTTCTGCCACTGTCGCCTCTGCAGAGCACTCATTCAGCAAACTAAAGCCGATAAAAAATTAACTAAGATTGACTATGTCACGGGGCAACTGGTAGATTTGGCAAGTATTGAGTCTGACCTTGCAAAAAACTATTGCAAAACGATTTGATTTTGATGATGTGATTCGCAATTTTGCCAGGAAAAAAAGCCGGGAAAGCACCTTTGGTTAGCAGAATATAAATGCCATTATAACTCAACTATATAATAACTGTTACGAACTTGTGATCGATCTAGTATTAAACTCATTGTTTATGTATATTGTTTCATTATTGTTCGTATACTGGTGTGTATTATTGTTTTTATTATCTTTTACAGAAGTACCTGTCCTCTTTTTAATATATTTGCAAGTATGTTTGAATGTAATTAATAAATGTATAATTATGACATGATTGATTTATGTGTCCATGTGTAGGGGGGGCATTTATGTGTCCATGTGAGTGGGCCCATATTAAGTCTTGTTCCAGCACTTAATAATCCTCTTGGCAGCCCTTGCTTGTCCTTGCTTACATAATTCTGGATCAGTTAACTGATTATCTATTTTTCCAATTTGAAATTAGAGAACAAGAAGATCAACAATACTATGAGATATGGGACTTATTTTATCAATGGTTAGATAAAAAGATATGGAAATGAAGTATGATCTTTCTGATACAAATAATGTAGAATTATATAAAATATAATATAAAGATGTACTATTATTGGAATGACATA